ATAATGTGGACTTGATATCAACAACATGTCAATGCATGTGGATATATTCTTTAAAATTTTCAAAAAAAATTATCTCAAATAAAAAAATATTCTCAGAGCATTATAGGTTTCTTTTTTCCTTTAGATGATATATATTATTTTCAAGAGGGCATACTATGTACACTGGAAATGCAACAATATCAATGTTCTGAGAATATTTTAAAGGTAGATAAGGCATGCATGCCCTTATCATGAAAAATCTAGATAAATCCAACTTGTTCTAATTAGATATATCTTCACTTTTTTTTCTCTTTTAGCTAACATATAGATAGTGCCTCTATATATAGCTTCATGCTAGGTTTAATTTTCTCAACAACAAATCAAGCCTCAAATTCACTTCACAACTTCTTTCCTCTTCACTAAAAACTATATACATATATTGGCATTTTTGCCAAACTAATTATTTCTTGAAGTTGTTTAAACATGGACATGGTGATGAAGTTGGGAACATCAAGCTCAGTAGTGATTTTCACCAAGAGTAGTTGTTGCATTTCTCACAGCATCGAAACCCTAATCCGTAATTTTGGAGCAAACCCTATAATTTATGAGCTCGATACACATTCAAATGGGAAGAAAATGGAGAAGGCATTGATGGAACTAGGGTGTCAGCCAAGTGTTCCAGCAATATTTATAGGGAAAGAGTTAGTTGGTGGTGCAAATGAGATAATGAGCCTTAATCTGAGGGGAAAGCTTAAACAATTGCTCATTAGGGCTAATGCTATTTGGGTATAGAAATTAATTATATTAGGCTAACAAGTGTATTTGGATGGTTGTTTTGTTCTACCTATTTGATTTGGTTCTTGGTGTATAAATAAAAATAATAATATCTTATACTACAATGTGTTATTACATGCCATTTTTATTTTAAAAACTTTTTAAATAAAAATTCTAGATCTGTCACTAATTACGTGCTCCTTTTTTTTCCGTTCAAGATTGAGCAAGGTCCATTACATTGACGTACATAATATATATCAATCATAAATATGATCTCTAGTACATTTAAATAAGGGCAAATTACAGAAATCACATACTTGTAAGGCAAAATTACAATCTATCCCTTAAAAGTTTATAATTACAGAAATCCATCAAACGGATACAATAATATAACCGCTGATACATTAATCTGATGCGCGAGATACATTAATCGTTAAGTAAGATACATTACATTTTATTCATGATACACTAATTTAATGTACATTTTATACATGATACACTAATATGATGCGCGAGATACAATAATATAAGCGCTGATACATTAATCTGATGCGTGAGATACACTAATCTGATGCGCAAAAATGAGGAATTTTGGAAATTTGTAAAACTTATAGGGGATAATGGTAATAAGTAAATTAAAAGGTGGGATTTTTGTAATTTTTTCTTTAAATAATACTCTTTAAGTACATTTGTGGGAATCTAATCTGTAAGATGATATTTTATATATGTTACCTTTTCAATCTTACTCCACTTTTTGACTTATATTAATTCCAGACGTTTTCTAGTCAGATTTTGTTTTCTTTAACCAAAAAGGCATATTACTTATATTCCGCCTCTCTAAAGTAAATTTTATTAATTTTCATTTGTAATTAAAATGGATTAGATTATTTTGATATTTTAAAATTACAATTTAGATATAAATATTCAAAAAAAAATATATAAAAAATATTATAAATTGCAATCGTTCTCGTATCAATCTGATTTGGAGACGGGGTAATTAAATCACCAGATCACCAATATTCCTACCCAGACACTAGATCAATAAGAGAATTTGACATTTTCTCATTTTAGTAATGATTGGGGAATGTGTTCCAATTGATGCTAGAACTTGACTTGTTAACCAACAATAATGCCCATATATAATATGTCCTTGTTTAGAATCATAAGAACATGGAAAAAGGGTAAACAAAATTTCCATTTATTTTTGTCTATTAAGTTTGTTTTTAGTTATACTCTAGGATCAAATATCTTTTACAGTTATCAGAGTATGACAAAATATCCCTATTTTGGATGGAACCCCCTAAATCAAATAGGGAAATTTTTGCATATTTCAGTAACGACAAGGGCATATTTGACACTATATATAGTATAATTAGAGACAAACTTAACTAATATTCAAAAAATGAGGAATATTTTTTACCCTTTTCTCTAAAAACATATTCTTGAGTTTAAAGTAATTTTTTTTTAGGAAAAAGGGGAAAATATACCCCTCAACAATGCCTCTTTTCTCGTTTAAAATATAATGTGCGTAGTGAAAAAGTACAACATAAATTGAGACATGAGAGTACATGTTGGGTTTTATGCAGTTTTGATTATTAACAAAGTAACATGAAACATGTAAGTCAACCTGGTTCATAGATGCACTGTCTCAAGAAGCTATTTCCGTAGCAAGATCACTAATGAATAAAGAAAGGCAAGCGTGCAATAATCAGGAAACGGGTGATAATTATGTCATAAATTCAATGAAACAAACATGTGCTAAATTGAGGAGTTAAAGTTCAACTACAACACAAAATAATCAAAGAGTTTGATTTAAAGAAGGAGTTTCACTTGAATTAGAACTCAAGTTTAAAAGAGTTTGAGTTGATGGAGAGTTTGTACATGTGCTGAAGAGTTGGAGTTCGATTACAACACAAAAGAATTAATGAATTTGATTTGAAGAAGGAGCGTAAAGGGACAAGGAGTTTGAATTGAAGAAGGAGTCTGCCTTACTTGAAGTAGAGTTTGAGTCTGTCGAGTTTGAAATGAAGAACAACTTTCTGAAGAGTTTTGCTTAAAGGGAAGTAATGTTGATGTAATCTTAGTTCAGTGAGTTATAAGCTGAATTAGGAGTGTTTGTTTTCAAGTTTATGATAACTCGAAGACTTGAGAACACATACCTTGAGAGGTTTTTGTTGAAGTTTATGATTTAGAGTTATTTTTTTAGATTATGGAGTTTGTAATCTTAAATTGTTGAGGCTCAATGATTTAGTGAAGTTGGAGTCAAATTCGGTAGGCATACATGTCGTGGTTTTTCACACCTTTTGAGACGGATGTTTTTCATGTAAAATATTATGTTATTAATTTACTTACTATTCTGTTTGCAACAAATGTTAAATATATGAAAAATAAAATAAATCAACCACAAACAAAATATGAAGAAACAAGAATATTATCGATAAAACAATGTGGGTACAGTTTTGTTCCTCTCTTGGTTCTTCTCTCTGAATTTTGTCTTAGTTCGAGGTTTAATTTGTTAGTAGTATGTTTCTCTAATTAAGGATTTGAACTTGATCTCCATGAAAGAATTTATAGATCTTCTTGAAGTATTTGTTTATCAAGAAGGGTCATCTCACATATCTTGATGTCTTAATGAGTATCCCGATTGTTTAGGAAATATTTGAGATGCATCTTTAACGAAATATTTTGTTGATAAACAGTGCATGTGCACTTTTTGTTCCTCCCTTCATTTTTACCTCTAGCTTTTCCCCATAATTCGAGAGTTGTTAGTAGCATATTCTCAAATTAGAGATGATTTGGACTTCTTTGATCTCTTTATGAATATCCCCAGAGTTTATGAGATATTCGAGATTTTGATCTTTATGAATATCCAAGAGTTTATGGGATATTCGAGATTTTGATCTTTATGAATACCCAAGAGTTTATATGGATATTCAAGATTTTGTTCTTTATAAATACCGAAGAGTTTATGAGATATTTGAGATTTGATCTTTACAAATACCCAGATGTTAATGTGATATTCGATATGCCTCTTCAAAAGGAAGATATTACCTTTTATCTAGGCATGAACTAGGGTTATAGGATATAGTAACCTCCTAGAACCTAACTGGAATTAAACTCGTCTTATGGAGTGCCAATTGAAATTAAATATGTCTTGTAGAGTTATATAAAATTTTGATGTCTACATGTTCTTAATTACAACTGCTTTGTTCAAACACGTTAGATAACCTGTTTCATACTTAGTTGAAAAATTAAGTTAAGTAACTAAACTCTAGATCGTGTAGAATAACAGTATAAGAATATTTGGCAAGCCAAATAATAGGCTCTTATACCTAGCTTTTCAAAGGTAGCAAAGGACTATATCTTCTTTAATTTGTAACACTTTTTTTTTCAGAAAGAATCAATAGATGAAAAGAGGACAATTGATCATGTGATCTATCTACCATTTGGAATATTTCTGAAGAAATTTTCAACTAAGTTAGTCGTGATCAAAGTAAAAGAATATTGTTTCGAAATTCCTTTCTTTCTTCTTGTTAATTCTAGTACCAGACATCTTTTGAAGATTTTATTTTATCCTCAAATCAAAAAAGAAGTGCCATATATATCTTTTAGACTAAAACATACTCCATGGATTTCTATTTATTTGTCTTATTTTCCTTTTCAATCCGTTTTAAAAAATGTTTCTTTCCCTTTAGCCACTACCAAAAAAAAAACTATTTTCGCACTGAAAAATGTTCAGTGGCTATACTCACAAATATTTTAATTGAATCATCAGTGAGAAAAGAAAAAATAGTAATATTTTCATACGGAAAAATTAGAAAATTTGCGTATTGTTCTTGTTTCCCACCATATTTTCCCATTGAGGCAGTTTGATAAAAAATGAGTGGGAAATTAAAAAATTATGTTCTATAGCACAGATCTTCTATTGATTCGCAGCGGAAAAAATCTTAATTTCTAATAATAAGCTTATAAACAACTTGAAACGGAGAAGTACTATAATATATGTGACCTTTGGAGGTGCTAAGGGAGCAATAATTTTCATAGAACAACAATTCATGTACTACATTCTCTCTGGTACGGATAGTATAATGTGGACTTGATTTCAACATGTCAACGAGGATATATTCTTTTAAAGAAAAACGATCTCAAATTAAAAATAAGATTCTATTTAAAAAAGTCACTCCAACTGGATATAATATACGTTTCTCTTTTCCTTTAGATGATATATATTATTTTCAAGAGGGCATACTATGTAGACTGGAAATGCAACAATATTAATGTTGTGAGCATATTTTAAAGGTAGATAAGGCATGCATGCCCTTATCATGAAAAATCTAGATATATCCAACTTGTTCTAATTAGATATGTTCTCTATATATAACTTCATCATATGTTCAATTTACTCAACAACAAATCAAACCTCAAATTCACTTCACAATTTCTTTCCTCTTCACTAAAAGCTATACATACATATCTTGGCATTTGGCCAAATTATATATACTCATTAATTATTGTAGTTATTTAAGCATGGATATGGTGATGAAGTTGGGAGCATCAAGCTCGGTGGTGATTTTCACCAAGAGTAGTTGTTGCATTTCTCACAGCATCGAAACTCTAATACGTAGTTTTGGTGCAAACCCTACAATTTACGAGCTCGATACACATCCAAATGGGAAACAAATGGAGAAGGCATTGATGGAACTAGGGTGTCAACCAAGTGTGCCAGCAATATTTATAGGGAAAGAGTTAGTTGGTGGTGCAAATGAGATAATGAGCCTTAATGTGAGGGGCAAACTTAAACAATTGCTCATTAGGGCAAATGCCATTTGGGTATAGAAATTTAGTTAATAATGACTTGGTTGCAAGTGTAGGTGTTTATACAACTAATCTTCTTTTTTCTTAAAAAAAAATAATTAAAAAATACTGATCTCTCGAGATCAAATTTTTAATTTTTACAATAAACCAACCCCATTTGTAAAGTTTCTTTAGCTTCTTCAGAGGGTTGTTTTTTCTCCCATTTTTAAGTTGTTTTTTGATGTACAAATAAAGTAATATACTTTGGTCATAGCTAGTGGCAATTTTACTTTGTATCCATCTTATAGCATGAAATAAAGAAGTTGATAACAAATGAACATCTTTTATGTATGTAATGCATTTTAATCTGAAGTATCAATAATATTTTTTTTCTACTACGTACTTTTGTGGCTATATGCTTTATGTTTTTATCATTTAATACATTTTGAGATTGAGCAAAGTCCATCACATGAAATAAACAACATCAGCTCTGAATAATGATCTCTTTCATCTTTAATTTACTAGAAGTATCAACTCTATTTGAGCTCAAATTTTATGGATTCATTCGTAATGTCCTAGTAAATAATACCCATAGTTTCCCAGTGAAAGATATCACTTTTGTTGGAATATCTTGATTCTAGCTCATTAGCTGGAACATCAACTTCGAAACATCATACGTAATATAATAATATAAATAATGAATATGTTAGCAAAGGACTCTACTCGAAATACATTTTTAAGGTTTTTTTTTTTATGTGGAGTCACTCCTCGAAAGATTCTTCATTTGAGTTAAATTCTTTTACTCCTTCACCTTTAACTATATCCCTGAAAATGTTATTTTCATCCGCTAAACATGCTCTTTCTGAAAATTAAAAAGATTTAATTTTCACCTCTTATTTGCGGAGGTTAGATTTTATGTTCCCCTCTTACAAAGTAAGGGTCCATACATAACATCCCACCACCCCAAGGCGGCTTCATTACAAAAAAAAAAATGTTGGTATATTTTATTTAACGATCAAAATATTTTTGTTCTGAATTATCTTGAAACTTTTAATGACCCATTCGAATGTCTTTCTTTTATCTAAACAATTCAACAACTTGTTCTAACAGGAAATCATATTGCAAATATTCTTATGTAGATACATATTAAAAGTTTTGATTTTTGAGGTGACATATGAATGAAATCTTCTAGCGTTCAATATGAAGATTTGTCATTTATCCAAAAAAATTTTCAATGGCAGGGGAATGTGTTCCAATTTGCTCTAGGCATATAATATATAGTACATGAGAATGTGTGGTACGCTAGAAATCGACATTGTTAAACCAACAACAACAACAACAACAACAACAATAATAATAATAATAATAATAATAATGCAATAAATAATCGTCCTTGTCAAGCATGCATGTATCATAAAATCATAATCGTCCTAAATTAAATTTAAGTTCAACTTATGTCATTATCATTACCATTAATGGGTTGGGTCGAATTGGATATGACCTTGACCGACCGACCTAGTTGATAGGTTTAGTTATAACGATAATTTTAATATTAACATGGCATAATACATAAATATGATTTTTTTTTCTAAAAAATAATAATTTATCACCATATGGTGGTAAGACCTTTATATATATTGATGAATAAAATTACAAAGCTAAGGGGAACTTAAGCTCAACCCAATGTTTCACATCGCAACCAAAAGCTGCTTCACAAAAACTAAGATTCTGGCAAAAATTATACAAGTTTTGCACAAATTTATAAGTCCAACGTGATAGAAAAAAATTAGCTATAACATCTCAATTGAATCAGTTTTATACAAATATTTTTTTTTCCTCTGCTTATGCCTTAGGGACTCATTTGTATGAGATCAAGTTGTTAAGGTCCGATGGTTATCGATGGTAGGTGAGCATGTGCAAAAATAACCAACTCCTCATTTGTAATACTCCATTTTGCCAAGACATCTGCAACTTCATTGACTTCCCTGTAACAATGTCGAACCTCGCAAGTAATAGTACTTGAAATATTTTGAATACGAGTAATGATATTCTTCATTTGCCAAGGGATATTGTAATTACCTTTGGTCATCTCAAAAAATATCTTTGAATCACATTCCAAGATTACATTGTAATACTTTATGACCTTTAATTTGGTTTTATCTGACATATATGCCCTCCAATTTTGGATGCACAAGTAGGCATTTTAATTTGTATAGAATTGAACAAGTAGACACACACGTCCTACGTGGCAATTCACGTTCTATGCAACATCATATGTGGCGTCTTACGTACGTGTACCATGCCACATAGGACGTGACAATTCACGTTCTATGCAACATCTTATGTGGCGTCTTATGTGTACCATGCCACATAGGACGCGTCTGTCGACTTGTTCAACTTTATACAAGTTTAAGTATCTACTTGTTCACACCCAATAAATGCTAGATGATGCCAAATTAATTGACATATATATGTATTATGCCTATATTAATCGATTAATCGTTACATTTCGATACCTTTACCTGGGAAAAATAGAGTACTATGATAATATGTGGCCTTTCGAAATTGTAAGGGATCAAGCATTTTTCTGGATCAGTACTAATTGTACTACATTCCCTTTCTTGATATATCTACTTTATACCAAAGGGAAATTTAATCAAAATTTGTCTATGGTACAGATCGTATAATTAATGTGGACTTGATTTCAACAACACGTCTATATGAGGATATTTATTCTTAAAAGATTTCATTTTTTTCTCAAATTAAAAGTAATATTCTATTGAAAAAGATTACACCAGCTGGACATATAGATTTATTTTTCCTTTAGCAGAATACTACATTGTTTTCATCAATTTACAAAATATATACATTTTGTTGGATCATTTTGTTCTTATACTTAACTTAAATGCAACATTTATAATTATTGAAGTAGCTTAGTTGGTTAATTATCTAAACTTTCACTTTATTGGTGAAGGTTTGATTTCTCACTTTGTAATACTCTTCCTCTACATCAACTTTGAAACGACTCCTAGAATTCAAAAATCAAACTATAGTGCTAAAATCCCAAATTCAAACTATTAGTATTCCTAAAATCTCAATAATAATTCAAACTAACTCAAATAATACCCAAGTTCAAACAACTCCTTAAATACCCTAATTCAATCTAATCTTACAATTCCAAAATCAAACTAATTAACTCAAGAAATACCAAATATCAAATAAATCCTAAGATACCCTAATTCAAACTAACTCTAACATAAAAAATTTCAATTCACAATCAACAAACACAAACTAATAATCAAATAATCCCTAATTCAAACTAACAATCAAAAACCCTAAATCATTCACTTACTAACTAACAATCAATCAAACTAACAATCAATAAAACTATGTATATTAGTACTCTAATTTTGAGATACTTCAACTAAATAGAAACAAAAGTAATTTATTATGGAGGTTCTAAAAATTCACCCTCAGTAAGAAGGTCGGGGATGGAGGCGCGCGACCTCCTGCTGCTGGGCGT